GGACTTACAACGCTAGAAACCGGGTTTCGATACCCGTGGTGGGCAGAGCACAGATAGCCAATTGTGTAGCTTTGTGAATAACTACAAACAAACAGACAGTGAGAATTATAGCTGTATTGCGCTTTACAATATTACTCACCACATACGCTTTGTTTAGAGAGAGTGTGAATTTAGATCATACAGATATTTCAACTTTTAAATATTCTTGCATGTTGTGATTTCTCATTCATCAGATGATGTAAAATATTACCTTATTTTATTATTTATCGTAGTGGTATATATATATATATCTGTTGCAAACTGAAAGAATCTGATCGTGCTTGAATCGTATTCCATACTATGCTATCCGTGCATATATATATACTCGGCGATTATAAAGAAATCCCCCTGGATCTCAATTTCACCAGAAGCATCCAGATATTGAGAACCATCCATTATATTCAGGAAAGTATGGAGTCGTTTTCTTTGAATAATTCCATTGCTTTTATTTCTCATCTTTCTGTCTATTTCAACAATAGGAGGTTGGTGATTTGGATAAAATGCATTACAATGTGTTGGATATTTCAAAGATAAATTAACAGTGTCCAGAACAGAAGATGCTTGCAGTAACTTCATTTAAGGATAGGTTTGATGTGTTAATTGATGACAATGACGGAAAGCATATCGGACACCTATACCGTGCCCAAACTTTCTTAATGATTGTTTGGTTGTTTGAAGTTAAGCACAAAGCTACACAATGGGCTATCTATGCTCTGCCCACCACGGGTATCGAAACCCGGTTTCTAGCGTTGTAAGTCCGCGGACATTCCGCTGTGCCACTTGGGGGGGGGGACTTTCTGAATAAAAACTTACGATTTTCAGGATAAATTTAATATCTGTAGGACAAGCAGTTCTTAAGGTATAATTGTTTTAAATAAGGACTTTTCTTAATAGTTATACTGCTGCCAGTCACGGTTTAGGACCTAAGCTCAATCCTTTTCTTTTTTAATTAAATATTTTAATACTTTTGATAACCATTAAAGTGACTTTTTTTATACATTTTGTAAAATATGATATACTGATCTTAGTCTCGGCCACCTTGGGGACATTTCAGAAGTTTATATTATTTTATTATCGAAGCTAACAGTACATACATAATAGCAAACATAGCTGAAAAGATTATTTTTTTCTTATTTAAATGAGTTATCGAACGCTTTGACATGTATTTATTTCATCATCAGCAGAGTCTGAAAATAAAGTGTAATGATATTCGTAAGTATAAATTAAGTAAAATCTTAATGATATTGAAGAACATGAAACTCAGAAAACATTCAGAAGTAATGGGCAGTAGAATTAACGCACATGAACCATGAAGTAAATTAAATAATATAATGAAAGTTAGCAAGTTCAAGAACTAACACGTTTATGTATAAAAATACAAACTTTGCCATGATTACAAATGGATATACAGACACTGAACTTCTCGTTAAATAAAACCCTCTAACTGCGAAAGATCACGTTATGTATAAAAGATATCCTTCCAACTAAACTGTTAGCAGTCTGTTGTTCATGTGTTCTAAGTTGCGACTGATATATTAGTAATTTATTTTTCAGAGATCATTTCATTTTAACGTTTTCTAAGCACCATGTTCTCCAGTATAATTAAGGTATTTGTATTTATATGTGCCAATACACCTTGTTTTCAGATTTCGCTGATCATGAAACATGTTATTACTAAACGTTCAATGAATCATGTAAGTAAAATGTTTTCTATCCTTTCATCTGTAGTTAGGAGACTTCATTTTTACCCCTAATGAATCTACCGTCAATATATTTGTGAACATTTCAGAAATCCGGTGTTATTTTCTAACATGTGTCAATTTTTTGTGAGAATCTGCCCTTGTACCTATTCTGAACATATTCGTCATGATGTAACAATTTACTTGAGATGAAGGGACGAAATGGTGTGTCATCTATCTGTTTGTGCATTTTCTATAATGTAACTATATTTGTGTAACTATAACAGCAATAGGTAAACACAGCAATAATGTTCTTAGCGCAGATGAACATCTGCACTTAGCTGTAAAGCAAAACGTACCGATATAGGTCACCTATGAATAGCTACTTTGCTCTTATTGCGTTAAGCCTGGCATGGTTCGGTGGCTAGAGAGCTCGACTCCCAAGTGGCGGGTCGTGGGTTCGAATCTCGTTACTGAACATTCTCACCTTTTCAGCCATGAGGGTTGTTTGTTGTTAATTATGCACAAGGGCTATCTGTGCACTGCCCACCACGGGTATCGAAACCCGGTTTCTAGCGTTGTAAGTCCGCAGACATACTGCTGTGCCACTGGAGGGCTCAGCCATGAGGACGCTATAATGTGACAGGCAGTCTTATTTTTACAGAATTACATGAATTGGCTGTGGGTGGTGTTGAGTAGCTGTCTTTCCTCTAGTCGAGCTAGATTAGGGACAGATAGCCTCGAGTGCCTTTGCGCAAAAATTAACAAAACCAACCTTTACTTTGTTAATTTCTGACTCTGTGGTGACTTCTTACTTGGCCTTAAGGGTCACAAGACACGCGTGACTAAACTCTCATTTGATCAACCGTCATAATTAATTAACTGCAGGCGTGAGACTAAAATGTGTTGGAAAAACTGGCAATATCTGAGAGAGATTAAGCTTATTTTATAGATGGTTTTATAATCACGTTTTGGCTGTTTTGATTTTGTTTGATATGAGTATTGAAAAGCTTGTTGTATCGCAAAATGTTTTGCGAACAAAGCTTAAACGTGTATTATTTGAACAAGTCCTCCAGTGGGTTAGCGGAAAGTTTATGGATTTACAACTGAAAAAGGGTTTGTCGTCTATCGGTTTGTGCATTTTCTGTAACTACAACAGCGAGAGGTAAACACAGCTACATTGTTCTTGTCACAGATGTGCATAGAGAACATCTGCACTTAGATGTGAAAAAACATAACTATATACGTCACCCAATAATAGCCACGTTGCTTTTATTGTGTTAGGCCACGCATAACTTGATGGTTAGAGCGCTCGACTCAATGAGGCTTTGCGCTAAAACAAAACAGACATTAAACCAATTAATTCAACGTTTACGACTATTGTTTCTAATAAACATAATTTTATGAAAAAACTTTTATTAAATGATGCGATTAATTAAGATTTTCTTTTAACGAACAACATCAATATATATATATATATATATATGAATATTTAGAAACTCACTAGAAAACGCAAATCAACAAAAAGGAAACATCTCTCTCAAGAGACACGTATGGAACCCAAGGACGCGAGTAGGTAGTATCCTCAAAACAGAGTAAACTGCCTTCACCAAATCGTTGTCTAGCTACCATTAATTCAACTATAGAATCGCTATAATGCCGCTTTTTCTTTCTTAATAACTAACCAGTATTTAGCCTACAAGATTAGGAAGAAATATATCTATAAGTTTCCCATCTAACAGAAGTAGACGTGTAAAGTTTTTAACGGGGCTTCAATAAAATAATCTATTCAATCACTAATAGCTGTAACCTTGGTATATTTATTCCATGACGTTGGTATGACGTGCGAGAATACGTTGTGCGCATATCTGTTTTTGTGCGTGAATATCTGTAAAATTGGAATAATCCACTCATAACACAGTCATTATCGTGTTCTTGTATATGATAATAGTTTTGTTTACTATACTTTTGAAACCTTTCCAAGTAGAGGAATTGAAAATTTATACAACGGCACTGTGTAGACAAAAACACTCACACAAAACGTTATGCTATTGAAAATATAAGTGAAGTAATATAATGAAACGAGTCTTGAAGTTACATTTTGAAGATTTAATTATATTAATAACCTCCATATATAAAACTTCACATGCCCCCCCAGTAGCACAGCGGTATATCTGCGGACTTACAACACTAGAAACCGGGTTTCGATACCCGTGGTGGGCAGAGCACAGATAGCTTTGTGCATAATTACAAACAAACAATAAAACTTCACATAGTTAGGATATTAGGAAACCAACTATAATGTAGAAATGGAAATGTACCTCAGAAAGCGAGGTATCTGAAAAAGTTATACACGGGAAGCGTTGTTTATCAGGTGTAAAAAAAAACAAAAACAAATAGTCTAAAAATATAAAACGTCGCACGTGAAAGACAGGTGAGTAGAACTAGGATAAAACTATGGTGTGGTAACTTTTTACTATTCTATCACTGTAGTCTCATTCGTATTTCCTATACGTATTGTTGTTGTTGTTTCGGACTGAAGATTTTAGGGTTTTCAAAAATCATTCAGGGTATTTGGCTTACACTTTATTTTACTTAAAAGGCAAAAGTAACATAACTGTTGTGGTATTTGCGTATATATAGGTATTTCTAATTAATTATTAGAGCCTTGAAAGTATCTTCTATTTAAGGGGGCCAGACGTTCAACCTCCCCCTCCCAATCTGTCTGGAAAGAGTGCCCCAAGTATATATGCAGTATATATAATGTAATACATTGTCCAATTAAGTATTAAATTTTAGTTGTTTTTACTAAGAAAGGTAACTTAAGGTGGTCGCATAAGTTTCTGATAATTTTTGTAACTGGTTTGAAATTAAATGTACTTTTATAAAGTTTGAAATTCTCTTTTTCTTTCTCAACGTGCCTTACTTTTTAAACGTTCTGTTTGAAAATATAATGCAGGAAATGTCATATCTAAATAATTTTGAAAACAAAAAATCTATTTATACTAAATGTGTGCACGAAGGTGATGAACGTGTATTATTTCGCCTGCCTCTTCCCACTAACGACACGCGATACTCTGTAATAGACCGTTTCCACTTATTCCCAGGAGATCGGCAGTTACGCGGAAATCTGTCACTGAAGAAGCCAAGTCGGTTGATCCACACTTATTACAGTCGGGATACACGTATGATGCTAAAAGAAGCTGTGACGTAATTATGCCTGTCACGTGATATACAGCTGTTCTTATAAAATGCTGCCACTAGTCTATAGCTGCAATAAACTGAAGTTTCTAGATAACAGTAAGAAAGCGGACTCTCATTTCGTAGGTAAAATAAGATTATATTAAGGGTATTTGCAATCAAGTCCATTGTTAGTGAGAAACAAATAAATCATATACTTGTTTTGGAGTTTGATTCGTAGCTTTATTTCATCTAAGTACACTGTGTTATAACGTAGTACGAAACATGTCATACTCACGAATAGCGTCTACCTCTCTGTCAAACAGTCAGGTTGTTACCTCTTTTGAGGTCAAAAAGAAAGAATTAAGAGAGAGGAAAATCCAACCGAGAAGGAAAACTGCGCCCATTGTAATGTTCTCCGCTGCGGTTGCATTAGAGGACAGAGAGAGCCCAAGTCGCGCGGGGGATGACCTTGGGTCAATTCGAACAACTCGAGGAAGTAGTTTCAGAAGAAGCAGAGTTAGGTCCACAAAAGAGTCTGTCCATCGAACACAGTCTATGAGGACGAGTAGTAGGCCGCATTCCTTAGATCCTGCCAACAGATCTCGCCAGCGGGTAGCGAGTGTCCCAAGAGATAATATTACTAAAAGATCTTCCTCCACTCATTCCCTACCGCTTGCTGGGGAAGAAGGGGATTATCAGAGGCTCCGTAACTTCTCTATTACACCGAAAGGCTTGATTAACAGAGGTGACTCCTTCCGTTCCAAATCACACAGTTCTCAGAGCGTGTCGTCTTCCGGGTCACAGTTACCTACTGCAGAAACCTCGGGGGAAGCCCACGAAGTACCTTCCCACTCAACCGTCAGGTATCGGGTCGTAGTCCTTGGTTGTCCTGAAGTTGGAAAATCGTGTCTTATTACCCAGTTCACAACATCAGAATACATCTGTGCTTACGATGCTTCTTCAGGTAAGAATATCTGATTGTGTAAAAACAACAGTGTAAGAGAGAGAGAGCGTTTCTAGCGTTTATGTCCGCAGACATACCGCTGTGCTACTGGGGGGCATGAACACGTAACTACGGTATAATGAAACACATTTTTACTTGGGTAGGTTGATAAGTGCATGAAAATCAGTCCCAGTAAAGAGTTTTCGCACATAGCAAATATCCCATGAATATCAATTTAGAGATCTTATTATTGATAACCAGTCAATATTACTCAAGTCTGTTACATCTATATCATTTTATGAAAGTATTTTCCTTTGTATTTTATATCTTTATGGTAAAGCTACTTAAGGCTATCTGCTGTCGTCCCTAATTCTGAACTACTGTTTAGAGGGAAGGCAGCCAGTCAGCAGCACTTTATCGCCCACTATCCATGCTAACTTATTGACTTTCACTCTTATAACATACCCACAGCCCTAAAGAGGGGGAGGAATTATCTTATGATAGTGCGCGAATTCGAATACTGCTCACAAGGTCCGAAATCCAGATATATACAACAGGGCCAACTGTGCCACGAAAATAATTTTTAATAAATTGTTATATCAAGTTATAATTTGTTTCTATACAGTTGTCGTGAGATCAGTGCGAGCACCTGTGGCTCAGCAGTGAGCTTAAGGACTTATAACTTTAAATAAGAGGTACGAATTCTGCGGTTGCCACAGCATAGATAGCCCACTGTCCATCTTTGCGCTTAACAACAGCTAACCAAAGACGCCATAATATTTCATATTGTAATTTATCATTTTAACCACAGTCTGGCAGTTAAACTTTTCAATATATTGAAAATACCATAACTACATAATTAACTGTGAGAAATATGGTTTTGCATAAATTCACTCTCTTCTTGGGTTGTAGAGCTATTTTTAAGGTTTCTAGCTTTCCTTTCAATTAACAAAATTATTTATGCTAGCTAAGTATATTAATGTCAGTAAAGTTAGTAAAAGAATACTTTCATTTTAACTATTTTGTTTCATACATTATTGCCCCCTAGTGGCTCAGTGGTAAGTCTGAAGACTTATAACACTAAAAACTGGGTTGCGATACCCGTGGTGGGCACAGCACAGACAGCCCATTGTGTAGCTTTGATCTTAATAAATAACAAACAAATCGTATGCTACTTAAAACTCATCGCTAATTTCTAAAAGTAATATGGTAATAGATGGTGAGGTCATTTTTATGATGTTTTAATATGTTGTTTCTAAATGTTTGCGATACATTATTCGACCGTAAAAGCGAAGCAAAGAATAATTCGTTATTTAAGCCGTACGGCACTGTTTTTATTTTATTTCCGAAAATAACAGGAATTTTTTTTATTAATTCGTAGATGAACAAGATGATAAACTGGTGACAGTAGTGCTGAACAGGGAGGAGTCTGAACTGTTGTTTGTTGAATACACTCTTTCCACAAAACCAGTAAGTGTGTTAAATCTATCTCATAATGTTTTTTAGCGTTTTTTCTTATTTGTATCGTTATCCATTCGTGTTATATCGAGATAATTATCTTTCTTGAAAATTCATATATATATATATATATTAGGATTCTTCACAACCAGTAGAAACAATAATGGACAACGCTGATGCCTTCGTTGTCGTATATTCGTCTTGTGACAAAACAAGCTTTCGCAGGGCGCGAGATACGTTACTGAGAATGAGCAACACAAAAGAAAAAAGTTCAAAGGCTATCATCTTGGTAGGCAACAAAACAGATCTAGCTCGGCTGAGGGTGGTGAATACAAAAGGTATGGTCAAATAAAAACATTGGAAGAAATATTTATGGGGTTCTGATTACGTTTTACTTCACCATATAGTAACCTAAAAAAATGAAATCTTTAATCAATGTTTTAACCCTGAAATTACTTATATTTAAGGATGATTCTTTATTTATCTAACTCTAAATCTTTATTTATCTGGCACTCGACCAAATGTAGTAGTAATTGAATAATCAAACTTTAAGATGAAACATTTTCTAAATTGTTTATTTGACAACATGATTGATCTCTGGACATCAAGATATATCCAACCAATATTCATATCTTGTCTTCCTTTTAAACAATATTACAGATGGTAAAGCCTTAGCCACATCCATTGGTTGTAAGTTCATTGAGACTTCCGCAGGAATTAACCACAACGTTGATGAACTCTTGGTTGGGATTGTAAGTCAGATTCGATTGAAGGATCAGCGACTAGAAAGAGATAGGGAATCGGTCACTTTAGCCACTCCAGCATTAGGGACTCCTTGCAAGGCCAAAGTTCTTATTAGAAAACTGTTAGAAAAAACAGTCATAAAGTCCAAGTCCTGTAATAACCTACATGTGTTGTAGAATCGAATCAATTTTAAATCAGTGTAGAATTGAAGGTTATAATTTTCAGGATCTCTAAAGCTAAATCAGGCGTTCTTCTAGGTTAAGCCTTATTCTTTCGGGATTTCGAAAACTCCAGATTTTGCTCATAGCCTCAGGTCAATCAAAACCACTTCATTTTATTATTTATTAAAATTGTAATAAATTAAACGATAACATAACACATTGGAAGTTATCGCAGGTAAACAGTCAGAGCATTGTTTAATACACTAAATTATGAAAATGGGGTTTAATTTGAGTTTAGCATGATTTTATGACGTGTTAAGCCTACAATAAAACAAAAAGTTATAAGTGTTTTTAATTTTTGGATAGGGAACATTATCGTAAACAATAATAATAAAAGATTTGTATACATATGCATAACGTAAAAATGTTGCGCTAGTTGATGGACCATCTTTTAACCTTAGCAAATTTTGTCGGCATTATCACATTTTTACATCTTTTAATTGAAGTATGTTCATATATATATATATATAATTATTTCTATATTAAAATGGTAAAGAAGCAACACGTATATTAATTGAACACTGCTAAACTAAACTGAACACATTTCTATTGTATATTCGTGTATATAGGACAATATGTGGATTTATATGTTAATAGTTATATTTGAATGACACCAGATGTTTCTATATTTTATTCCACTTCTTTTCCATTTTTTTACCTTACATGTGATGTGACTTCTATTGTGCTTTAAATTATACGTGAATATAAAAGTATACATTAAAAATATCTGTTGCTTTTCTACTGTATTTATTTCGCGTGACTATAAATGTTTCATTCAAACGAATGCTCATTTCAGAGGGTTCTTGATTAACAAATATACATAAAATTATTTTATAACATGTATATGAATAATATATATGCTTTCTTGAAATTATTTTATTGTTTTTTTTTCTTTGTACGACTTATTTACTCGACGATTACTGGCTAAGGAACTCATTTAGCTATTTTGTAAAATAATGGTTTGATTTTTTAATCTCACCGGGAGAAAAACAAATCGTGGAATATGTTTTACTTGTATCTCCATCAATTTGTAGTTTTGTAGTTATTTACTAGAATTTCCAGTTTGTATGTGTTGTTCAAATATTATTTTTTTTAATTGAAGTGGTCTGGGATTTGAAAACTCTTTTACGAAAAGTAGAAATATTAGTTTTCAAATTTTACTTGTGACGGTGCTGATTATAGGTGTTAAATGTCGAAATCTTCATTAATCTTCGCTAATATTTGCAGATACTTCCAAAATTAAAAGTTTTGTTTTTAGCAGCTTTAGTACTTTAATAGAGAATGATAAATTAAATATTATTTGAAATTTTGTAATCAGAAACACCGCGCATGTAACTTCAAACTCAAGTGTAATAAACATGATTTAAAAAAAAGCTTTGCCTGTTACTGTTGATCATATCAAGTTTGTGAAAACGTAAAGTTTTGTTGTCGTAGTTAGAGGTTTTATTTTCACTTATCCTACTTTATAGTGAAGCTAACACATATAAAATATTGTCATTTCGTAATTTAAAAAGAAAACTAATTGCTGAAATATAGTAAAGTTTGCTATTATATTTTATAACACTAAAACTACACAATTAATACATTTTGAAATCATTACTTTATAATATTACTTCCCAAAAATTACCATTCGGCCTGGTGTAAAGTGTGCAACACTGAAAATTTTAAAATTACATTTTATATAATGAGGGAATATTGACCAGTTGTTTATCCTTTCATCATCTGAATGTGACGAACTTCTATTATGTTTCGAATAACGTCACTTCACTGAATTTGGTTCAGGTTTAATATTAGTTGCACAATAATACATTTTTTGTTTATATATATATGTATATAAATTTTAATGGAACAGTCAGATTTTGGTCTTAAAAAATAGAATTGCCTTTACATATACAGTAATCCAATTCTACCCAAACTTTTTACATAGGGGTCAAGAATACTATAGTGATTAACGTACTCGTGCTCTGAATCCAGGAGTTCGTGGTTCGCTGTCCGTTGCCGCGAAAACGGGCTACGTACTTTGGGGCTGTGGGGGCGCTATAAGAATAACGGCCAAACCCTTCTATTCGGTTAGTCAAGAGTTGACGATTGTTGCTGTTGACCAGCTGCCTTCTCTCGACTCAAAATCAGGGATGTCTATAGGCAGATAGCTTTTTGTGTAGCTTTGCACGAAAATTCTGAAACAAACAGACTTTTTGATATCATCCTCCAAGATATGGAAAAACAAAAAAATGGCTATTTTAAAATAATATATAACCTAGTAATAAAAATAATGGTTACAAATATAATTTGTGATATATATATATATATGACGCATCCATCACACGATAACTCAATATCTGTAGATACATATCCAGCGGAAGATTTAAAAGTTGGCGAGTGAATTATGTAATCAATTACATCCCAGCTCCAGCTTTTCTTAACTTTTTTTAGGGGGTAGGTGGAGAATGAAGATTAGATTGATGGAGGGTATTTCCTTGCGGGAGGGGGAATGACACTTCATTCACCCACCCCCTTCACTCCCCGCTAGCGACAGCCTTGATCAGTCATAAAAGCTTGAATAAATTGTGGTCCATGTTCCAAATAATATATTTTTTAAACTGCAAATAAAAATACACTGAAATACTTAATTATAATGAGGAAGTAAAGAAAACAACAGGGAATCTCCAATAGCCGCGGCACTTGAAATTCTTTGAGGCAGGTATAGAGTAAATTAACCTATGAAACCTTTGTTTCCCTTTTTTTATCAGCTATATTTTTGTGCGCCAGCAATACCAAACGTGGGGCACTCGTATACCCGATTCGATTTTATTACTCATCAGGATCTCTACCGGCCTACCCTCAAATTGAAATTATTTTAGGCACGATTAGAGTTAATTACTCTATGGGACCTTGGGTGTGGTCAAATACATCAGTCGAATAGGTTTGACCTCATGAGCCCAAAATTGTAATTAGACCTCAAATCGTTCAAGATATGACGGAGCTAAGAGATAAAAGCTTGTACTTGAAAAAACAAAAACAAAATTTGAGCTGTTCTATGAGCCGCTCGGCAGCGGCCAAAAAAAATAGTAAATATGCAAAGTGAAAAATGACAGGAAACAAAATGGTCTTGAATAAATACCATACACAAAATCAATATTTCTCAATTTAGAGAAAGTTACAATTTGTTAGCGTAATCTCTAAATTAAAAAAAACAAAACTCAAAATATTTTATTTAGAAAAAGTTTTAAGCCTAGTGGTTAATACATGATTTAGGGAAATATAACAAACTCCATTTACCTCTCATAATTTTGAGACCATGTTTCGAACAGCTTGTATAGTTCTTTATCAAGTAGCCATTACAGGTGTGGCGTGAATTAACTGTGGTTACTTGTTTCTGGATGGTACAGCTCAAAACTAACCCCTATTATCTTTCCTGGCATCAATGAATTAGTAGTCGAGACTTACAAGTTTGAATATGTTCTGAAAGTCGTACATGAACTTTAACTTGGAAAGCTGTAAACGGTCCACGTTTAATCACAGTCAACATACACTATATAATTTAAAGTTTCTGAATAATGGATTGAAGTTCTAGTCATTAGAAATAATGTCCAATGTGTGAAAGAAATTAAGTAAAAGTAGTTTAAAATATTTTAAAGAAGGGTTAAAAAAATCTCATAAAAACAGTTAAGAAAAATTACTTAAGCAACAATAACTAAAAACAGTTATAAATTGATGGGAAATATAGAAAACATTTTAAAAGAAACTAATAGGTAAATTATTTTCAAAAACACCCGACCCTTCCTACCCTTATTCTTGTTTAGATGAGTTTTGGCAGGAAAGAGAAGATAAGTTTTATGGAGAGATGAAAAATATGGAATTCTAGCTTGTGTAAAACTGCAAGTTGAATTCTTTGTTTGGAATTTCGCGCAAAGCTACACGAGGGCTATCTGCGCTAGCCGTCCCTAATTTAGCAGTGAAAGAGAAGGCAGCTAGTCATCACCACCCACCAAAACTCTTGGGCTACTCTTTTACGAACGAATAGTGAGATTGACTGTCACATCAGAACGCCCCCATGGCTGAAAGGGCGAGCATGGACGAGGATAATAACTAGCAATCCTCACATTGCGAGTCTAGCGCCCTAACCACCTGGCCATGTCAGGCCTGCAAGTTGAAATAAAAGTAAATTGCAAAAGTAATAAAATTAATCTACACTGATCCAATAGAGACAAGTTTTAAAAATGATCGACTAAGAAATAAGAAGCGTCTAAGCAATTTACCTCTTAAATCAAAAGCTTGGATGAAAAAAACACCAGTTAGATGATCAAACTGTAGAATTTCACATAATTTTTCATTAGTGAAAAAAAAAAAGATAAGCAAGATATAGCTTGATCAGAAGAAAGTATATATGATGACAAACTGAGTTTTAACAAAGTTGTGTACTCATATTACAGGCTTAATGAAGCGACGTGAAAGGCATTTGACAGGCAGTCCAGGAAATTTATTTTTAAATTTAAAATAGTGACATAATTAGGAACTAATGGGGTTTTTAAGTCCTTTTCTGTAACATATATATGTAATAATTAGGAACTGTTTTTAATTAGCTGCAACTCGTGTATTGGAAATAAGTCTGAGTCTAAACTAGAATGGAGATATGAAAAGTAAAAGAGTGTATATATTTTTTTGTTAATTAGAAATAATTTAGTGTTCCTTCCAAATTAAAAAAAAACATTTTGTATTTTAGTTACATTAGCTAACATGATAAATTAATTCTATCAAGTTATAACAGTGTCTAGTATTTAATGCTTTGGATGGACAACATCCAAATGTATTTACTGTATAATTCTGAAATACAGAATGTTTACTTCGTCTATTGTTATAGTAACAGGCTCACAAAACAAAGGAAATGCATTTAATAGTTTTTATTTTTCTTAATGGAATATATTTGTTTCTTTTAGCGCAAAGGTACACATTAGACTATCTGTGTTCTGTCCACCACGGGTAATTAAATCCTGAATTTTAGTGTTTGTATGTTTTTTTTTGTTTTGTTTTTAATTTCGCGCAAAGCTACACGAGGGCTATCTGCGCTAGCCGTCTATAATTTAGCAGTGTAAGCTAGTCATCAACGCCCACCGCTAACTCTTGGTCTACTCTTTTACCAACGAATAGTGGGATTGATCGTCACATTATATCTCCCCACAGCTGAAAGGGCGAGCGTGTTTGGTGGTATGGGGATTTTAGTTACGTAAGTGTGTAAACTTACCGTTCACTTACTGTGGAACTAATAGAATAAAGCAATTGCTGAAATAAATTAATCACAAAAGTAATAAATACCGGTTTCACACCCCAAGAAATAATTTAACAAGTTTAAATTTAACCAAGAACAATAAATGAAATAACTGACAATCTAAAAAATTTAAAGCAGTTATAGAGGACAATATTTCATTAGTGGTTAGAAATAAATGTTTAATTTAAGAATTGAAAAAGAAATATTTCGAACTTCATTGAAAAAAGCAAAATTAATAACAATATTTAAAAAACATTGAGGCAAAAGACAGATTACAAATTATAGACTATAGTGAATATGTTTTCAAAAATATTAGACAATTAGTTTACACAAGCCTTTGCGGTTTTCTTAATAAGTTTGGTTTATTGTCTGAATATTAGTATTGGTTTCGTAAGAGCGAATCTGCTCAACAAGTTATTCAAGTTTTATGTAAAATTATTACTGATAATTCCTGATAAAAGTAAATTAGTCAAAACTGTGTTGCTCGACTTATATAAAATATTTTGTGTAAATCATAAGTCCATCATAAATATGTACGATACAGGAATAAGGTATAAAATTTATAAGTGGTTGGAGAGATATTTAAACAGCATTCTCAAAATCCCCCAATGGCTCAGCAATAAGTCTAATGGCTTACAACGCTAAACAATCAGGCTTCGATAACCTTTATGGGCACAGCTCAGATAGCCCATTATGTAGCTTTGCGCTTAACAACAAACAAACAAAAACAGAAAGCAGAATCTCAACAGTTAATGTTGATGACAAATATTCTGAAGAATTAATAAACACCATATGTGTTCTAATATTGCTGTTGCTTTTATTATATGTTAATGATGTTCTAGATATATTATTTGATATAAAGCAAATTTTATTTGCAGATGATAACATAGCTATAGCTCATAAATATATTTAGTTTAAATGTTTCATTTGTCATTAGATAGGTTAGATTATTGACTTAGTGATACACATTTGTTTGTAAATCTTGAAAAGATTTTTTTCAAAATAAACATACAAAGAGGAGTGTTTGAAAGAGGTTCCTCTACAATAGTATTGAAGTAAATATGTATATATGAA